TTAACGGTAATGGTTAATCGAAGTTTTATTGTAGCACAAAAAATATCCTGTTAAACTCTTACTTTTCTTCTTCTGCGTTCGACATCAGTCATGCTAAAACTTTGAGTCCCGTCTGAGTCAGAAATAGGTTTGTGCGTTTAAGGTCGCCACCAGTCCCCCATAGCTTCTCTCGAAATGTGGATCCCCTGGACCAGATCCACAGTCTTTGCTGGGAGAGGTAAGAGCAGTACTGTAGTATGTGCTCAGGGGTCTGTCTTTCTGCTCCACAATCACAGGCAGCAGATTCTTTTATGCCTATCCTGTACAGGTGTGCTCGAAGACCACAGTGTCCTGTCCGAAGTCTAAAAATTGATGTTTGTTCTTTCCTGCTGAGTTTGTTTATGCTGTCACTCTCTGGTCTGTAATCTCCGTTCTGCCTTCTCCACTCCCGCTTGAAAGACTGCTTCAGTGCTGTTTTGGTTTCCTTGTAGCTGTTTGATGGATGAGGTTGTGAAAGATTACTCCCAGCTTTTCCCAACTCATCTGCTCTCTCATTTCCTTGAATACCACAGTGGGCTGGTATCCACTGCAAGACCAGTTCTGCTTCCTTGGAGAGTAAGCCAATGTTGGTCCTTAGATCTGCAATTAGTTTGTCTTGTTTTTTGGCTTGATAGTGCTTTGAGAACAGATGAGTCACTAAGTATAACGTTATACTCTTACGATTATAAAGGGGTTTTAAAGTGTTCATTGTGATTTGGGTATATTTTTTCCGCATTTTGTGTATTGTATGATTATTTCTTTCAGACATTTTTGCAGTTTGTATCATTATTAATCAAGAAATTCTCCTTGCGCCCTATTGGTGCTTATGACATGTAGTGTTGGGTCCATATTTGTGTTGACTAATCGGAACTTTTCCGGATACATTCGTTTCCTAAGATATGTCTTGGTACCAACTGTATACGTCTTCTTCTTTTTCTTCTTCTTCTTCTTCTTCTTCTTCTTCTTCTTCTTCTTCTTCTTCTTCTTCTTCTTCTTCTTCTTCTTCTTCTTCTTCTTCTTCTTCTTCTTCTTCTTCTTCTTCTCTTCTTCTTCTTCTTCTTCTTCTTCTTCTTCTTCTTCTTCTTCTTCTTCTTCTTCTTCTTCTTCTTCTTCTTCTTCTTCTTCTTCTTCTTCTTCTTCTTCTTCTTCTTCTTCTTCTTCTTCTTCTTCTTCTTCTTCTTCTTCCTCTTCTTCTTCTTCTTCTTCTTCATCCTCTTCTTCTTCTTCTTTTCAACGGCTGTAAATATCCTAAAGAATTATATGGTTGTTCGTCCACTTCTGGACTTCGGTCTTATTGCAGAACTTGAGTTTTTCGTACACATCCATTCTACAGGCCAGGCTTATTTTAAGCTGACTTTGGTTCTTTGCCTCTCAGGCAGATACATTCCGACTGTGAAGGATACACCCCTTATAAGAACTCACGTAAGGAAGACTCGGTTAAATTGAGTTGAGCTGAGTTGAGTCAAGAATTGACATCACAGCACTCGGGGCATCCCCATGCATGCTCCGTCCTCATCTTCAGCAGCCAGCGCAGAGTTCCTGTACTGATGGTGCCTGTCACAATCTGGTTTAAAGTCCGTCTTGCCTGTCCTCTGAGTGTAGTGAGCTGGCCAGACCCTCTGGTTACACCCAGCGAGCGGACTCATTCTCTCCAGGCCCTAATAATCTTCTTTCTCTACTGATTCCGTTGCTTGTTTCCAAAGGGCCTTTATCACATCTGCCTTGTCATGTATCAATTCACCACCAGTGGTGCAGATCCAGCCAATCTGTCTGACTGTTCATTACCCACCACGCCGGCATAGCCTGGAGGAAAGATACAAAGTATGCTCACTACCCGTGACCTTTCCAGTGAAACTTGCCACTCTGCTCGAAGCATCCCTGCTTCACCTTTTTCAGGATGCTTTCAGAGTCTGTTACAATTACGACATGTGTTTGCATCTAGTTCTTTAGCCACCAGAGAGCTGCATTTACCGCCTCTACCTCCATTCTCATGCTAGATGTTGTGGTGTCATATGCTAGGCTTGTTATAAAAAATTAATCCAGATTGAGATTTGAACACAAGATTCTCAGCAGTTATGTTTGCTTTAACCTACTAAACTACCTAGGTTCGACAACACACTAGCGTGCTGCTGAAAATAAAGTGCCGGAAAAAGTGCAGCTTTCGGGAATATTTATATTTTTTGCTTGTTTATGACAACAACGGTGCACTGTAGATTTTTCAAAAATAAGAATTCAATATAACACGATGGGAGAATAATGTGTTTACAAGAGGGCAGCGAGAGAGACAAAAACAAATCATTCTACTTTCACGGGAAACAAAAATATTCCCTCAAGCAGCAGTTTGCCAATATCAATTAAGGTTACGCGTTAGAGTATCTTTTCTCGACATTATCGTCGGGAAATTCAACGCCACTTCAGTCAACCTCCACCCGGGTCGATGTTTCAATGTAGGAGATTTTCGAAACTTTTATTTTGAAATACATTCAAACATTCATTTTTTATCGCCAGTGCTTGCCTCCTTTTTTGTGACTGTTTTATGGGAGAAGGGTCTTGAGCCTAAGGATTTAAGGCCCTGTGCCTAATGTAGTAGCCAGGAACTGCCTAGGTTTTAATTTATAATGAAGTAAAACTCAGCCAACCAAGATGAGGGGAGGCTCTTCAAGCAAAAGAAGTATGACACAATGTGGAGAAAGCCGAAAGGAATCCGGATCATCGACGTACTGGACCCTTAGGGGCATAGGAAAAAAAGAAGGCAAAAAAAAAAAAAAAAAAACATGGAGAAGGGAGCTGGAGGATGAAGAAGATTGGGAGGACATAGGGAGAGCTGCATGTAATAGCAAAAGATAGAATGACTTGGCGTGAGCTGTCTGAACGCCTATGCTCCACTAGGGGCTAGAAAGGCAGAAGAAGATAGTGTAGTTTACTGAAATTTGCTGGCATAATTTATAAAGGAAGGGTCTTCTTTGCTTCATATAGCCTAAGGCCTCATCCGTCCATTTCCAGCCCTGCTCATACACCCCCTCCCCCCCCCCCCCTCCCCCCCCCCTTTCTTCCCCTGACTTTACACCACAAGAGTGGCAAATACAAGCAGCCATGGCAGTTTTTTTATTATCCAGAATTCTGTAGTTTGAAGGGGCGCCGCAATATAGGAGCTCCATCACTTCGATTTAATAATAATGATTAGTTGATGCAGATTGTGCTTTTAGGGTTATTTACCACACACCGAACAAACGTTTGCTATTTGTCAGTGAAACTCTCATATGTTATGTAAACAAAAAGATCACCTGATCAGTTTGAAGTTGTTGTTGTCGTTCGTCCATCACAAGTGATGAGGACCATTTTTTATCCAAATTAGTAATGATCAATGATTATGAATCCGATGGTGGCTGATTAGTCCAATTTAAAAAAAAGTTTGAAGTTACCATGCTAATCACATGACTGATTTTTGAAGTTTTCGTAGATAAATGTAAAGCAACTCGAAAATGTAGTTTATGTATTTCAGCAAGAAAAGGGTTCATTTTTATGATTCATTATAAGTTGATGTTTCATTATAAGTTGATGTTTTATTATAAGTTGATGTTTCAGTATAAGTTGATGTTTCAGTATAAGTTGATGTTTCAGTATAAGTTGATTTAACTCTATAGTATCGCACCTGACGAGATACCGAGAAACATGCCAGGTAATAATTTGTCTAATTTTATGTTTGTGTCCGCGTTATTTAATAATATTAATTAATATTATTATTCTTGCATTATAATTACTGCGGAAGTAAGCACAGCTCAAGTCTATTGACAGCTCCCCCCCCCCTCCCCCACCCCCTTTTTTGGGGGGAGGAGGGGGGGGCGTATTTTAGTACAATACAGACACTGGGTTAGAAAAACCACACAACAGCCAGGGGAACAGCCAGGGACTGTAAGGGTTGGTTCTGCAACGTCCTGTAAAAGATACGCAACTAACCTAACAGACAGACAATGGCTTTAACCACAGTGTTGCAGCGGCTAGACGCTCGCCTGCCAATATTAAGGTCGTGGGTTCGGGTCCTGGCGGCGCCGGTCTTTTTTTTTCTATTATTTTTTTCTTTTCAGGTCGGCCCAGCCTTGAGTGGCTACCAATTATAGTTCTGGAAAGTAAAGGCGGTCGGTGTGATGCTGGCCGCATCACCAGGTCGGTGCCAATCAGTCTATAAAAAAGGTCTAGTTGTTTTGCCCAGTACGACTGAAGGCATGGGAAGAGTGTCATTGACTCTCTTTACAGACATTTGGCGAACTTATTATTGTTTTATTATTATTGTGCACGTGAGCAAGGCTTAAGCCTATTGAGAACGCCCCCCCCCCCCCCGAATCACCCGTCTCTAGAAAATGTTAAGAGGTCTACCCCCCCCCCCGCAATATTTTCTTTCTGCCAGCGCGCCTAGGCACATATATAGACTATAAGAGCTGCTTGTTTTTGTTTGTGTGTTGCAAGTTGTCAATCCAGGGTGACGTGGCTACTGTTCTTGGGGTGTGAACTCATTTCTCTTGGGTCAGTGGGTTACAGATGTAGGTCAGTGATTTCTTGCTTTCTCCTCCACACATCATTATCATCATCCCCACTAGCACCATCTCCACCACCATCATCATCAGGACCTCTATAAAATCACAGCCACAAGTATAACCACAAGTACAACCAATATCATCAGCCCGAGACCACAGCACTGCCACTATCATCACCACCTCCACTATCATTACCACCACCACTATCAACATCACTACCACTATCATCACCACCACCACTATCAACATCACCACCACTGTCATCACCACCACCACTATCATCACCACCACCACTATCATCACCACCACCACTATCAACATCACCACCACTATCATCACCACCACCACTATCATCACCACCACCACTATCATTACCACCACCACTATCATTACCACCACCACTATCAACATCACCACCACTGTCATCACCACCACCACTATCATCACCAGCACCACTATCAACATCACCACCACTGTCATCACCACCACCACTATCATTACCACCACCACTATCAACATCACCACCACTGTCATCACCACCACCACTATCATCACCACCACCACTATCATTACCACCACCACTATCAATACCACCACCACTATCAACATCACCACCACTATCATCACCACCACCACTATCATTACCACCACCACTATCATTACCACCACCACTATCAACATCACCACCACTATCATTACCACCACCACTATCATTACCACCACCACTATCAACATCACCACCACTATCATTACCACCACCACTATCATTACCACCACCACTATTATTACCACCACCACTATCATTACCACCACCACTATCATTACCACCACCACTATCATTACCACCACCACTATCAACATCACCACCACTATTATTACCACCACCACTATCATTACCACCACCACTATCAACATCACCACCACTATCATTACCACCACCACTATCATTACCACCACCACTATCATTACCACCACCACTATCATTACCACCACCACTATCATTACCACCACCACTATCAACATCACCAACACTATCATCACCACCACTACTATCATTAACACCACCACTATCATTACCACCACCACTATCATTACCACCACCACTATCATTACCACCACCACTATCAACATCACCACCACTATCATCACCACCACCACTATCATTACCACCACCACTATCATTACCACCACCACTATCATTACCACCACCACTATCATCACCACCACCACTATCATTACCACCACCACTATCATTACCACCACCACTATCAACATCACCACCACTATCACCACCACTATCATTACCACCACCAATATCAACATCACCACCACTGTCATCACCACCACCACTATCATCACCACCACCACTATCATTACCACCACCACTATCATTACCACCACCACTATCAACATCACCACCACTGTCATCACCACCACCACTATCATCACCACCACCACTATCAACATCACCACCACTGTCATCACCACCACCACTATCATTACCACCACCACTATCATTACCACCACCACTATCAACATCACCACCACTGTCATCACCACCACCACTATCATCACCACCACCACTATCAACATCACCACCACTGTCATCACCACCACCACTGTCATCACCACCACCACTATCAACATCACCACCACTGTCATCACCACCACCACTATCATCACCACCACCACTGTCATCACCACCACCACTATCATCACCACCACCACTATCAACATCACCACCACTATCATCCCCACCACCACTATCAACATCACCACCACTATCATCCCCATCACCACTATCAACATCACCACTACTCCTACTAGCACCACTACCACTATCACTTCAACCACTGTCACTACCAACACCACCACTGCCACCATCACTACCACCACAGCCACCGTGTGTGTGAGGTGTATGTTGAATGTTGGTGTGCCAGCACAGGGTTGGGAGCTCTCCTGCCCGTCGGGAGGTCCACACCCATTGACTATCATCGATTGGTACACAAATACACTTGTCTAGCACCAGATGGCGCATCCTTCAAATGCTTGAGAAGGGTCTTATACTGTCACTTTTCCCCGAGTGGGTTCCAAGGCCTCACTGTGGGAGAAACAAGACTTGACCCACTTCAAGCATGTCGTGAGAGTCGACTAATTATAGGCTTCCCTCAAATTTGGAGTGCATCTGCTTGAAAAGCAAGAATCCAATACTCTGCATACAAATACGTCTGATCTGTAAAAAGGATTTGCACGCAAAACTTAGGCTCTGAAAGAAGACTACAGTCTAGAAGTGGACGAACAACCAGAACTTTCCCCAGGAGTTTACAGCTGGTGAAGGCGAAGAAGGATAAGAAAAATGTCATTTTACAAACGTCTTCCGCGTTGGCTCTGCACAACTTGGTGGAATACTGATAAGGCAGACGTGGTTGGTGCCTTGTTGGAGAGCGTGTACAGTTCGGAGGAGCAGATTGATCACCACAGTCTGGTGAGATTGATGCAGGAAAGGGGGGGGGGGGTGACGAGAGGTGCTGGCAGATGCTCGAGGCTCAGAGGAAAGGCAAGACGGACGTTTAATCAGAATGCTACCAGCGCCATTAGTATCGGAACTCTTCGCTAGCTGCTGACGATAGGGACGGAGCGCTGTGATGTCGTTTCTTGAATCAAATCAATCAAATCAATCAATACGTCTTCCGCGGCATCATGTCATCATATCCATCCAGTGTACCATTGTCTGTTTGTCCATAGCTTCGTATTGTCTACCCCACATGTAACATTGTCTTCCTCTTGCATGCCTCCCACCCAGTCCTTGGCTTGACACCTACCCCAGCGATCTTGATAAATATTGCCTAAGTATAGGTGAGTAAAGTAAGGGACGCTTTTTCACGCCTTTCTGGTGTAGTGGGTATATAGGGCTAGACCTAGTTTTTAATAGACTAACGGTATTTGATTGATCAGCATCACGCCGGCCGCCTTTACTTCCCAAGACTGTACCTAGTACCCACTCAAGGTTGGGTCTACCTGAAAGCAAACGTCATTTACAAAAACAAATCCGGCCCTCGACATGAACCGAACCTACGACCTTTCGATCTGCAGCCGAGCGCCTAGCCGCTAAACCACTGGGGCTTCCTACATAGTATAAGCCTTAAGTTTATTTTTGTCATCGTCGTGTACATACAATTCTAATGTAGTCATTTCATAGTCTTCATGTGTGTGTGCGTGTGTGTGTGTGTGTGTGTGTGTGTGTGTGTGTGTGTGTGTGTGAACGCACGAGCGCGCGTGCTGTGTTGTTTTTTATTTGGCGATAACGTCTAATTGCTGCAAAGTCCTTTGTTTGTTCTTGTCATTGTATTTAGTTTTGGAAAGCTGTTTTTTTTTTTTTTTTCATTACTTTTTTTTCTTCTCTTCCTTATAATTTCCTACCTTTTTTTTTAAACTACTTCAACAAGGAAATATTTCCGCTCCGTGGAAGCACCTCGGTTATCTGCCCTTGAAGTGATCTGGTCGTATTCTCTTCCGCCCAGTAAATCCGGCAACCTGGCAACATGATGAATTTTACTCTAGTCTCCCCATTCAAACACCACTACACACTAGCTCGCTTCTGATTGGACGACCTACTGACAACTTCCCTTCTGATACGTCAGCCTCGAGCGATCCGACTTTCACACGTGGTCATGGGAATTTTCCGCATTCTCTCTTATACCGCGTGTTTTATATTTCACCATACCAGAGCTTTCAACACTTCTAAAACATTTAGATACTGGGTCTAACACAGAACTCCCCCTAGAGAGTGACAAAACCTATGTCACAGACCGTCTCGTTCTCGGAAATAAAAAAGTAAAAACCAGACAACAACAGACTGCGACACCCATAACCTCGACCACGGTAGACTAATCCAACCAACTTATCAATGGAGTTGACCTATAACCGGTGGTGTGCAAATGGGGAGACCATAAATAATCAATTGCCTTACAAACATACATAAAAAAGACGGTGAACCCTTGAGATCGTATAGTGTGTATCGAAAGCCTGCCCTCGAACTTCAACAAATATCTCTAAAAACGTCTCTGTCCGGATCAACACCAATTTTTGCATGTGGTTTTTCGATTTCCTATTTCCTAATAATTTCATGAAAAATATCTTACGCAATAAATCGCTCTCATTTAATGTGAAAAATAGGGTGCTAAATGTCACATAGAACGTGTTCTGTTCTATGGCAGCGAATCTTGGAATGTCCGTGAACAAATTAGGAAGAACTTTAAAGCAACAGAGATGTGGTTCCTGAGACGAATATTACGAATACCTTGGTCGGCCAGAGTAACTAACAACGATTGCTTCAAAGAGGCCAATGAAAGTAGATCTCTATATACAACAATAAGAAAGAGACAAGCACTGTTGTTGTTTTTTTTTTGCGACCTAATGAGAAGAGAGACACTGGAGAACAACCGGAGAGATCAATGGGAAAAGGGGTGGAGAAAGATCGAGAGAGATGATGCTGGATGGGCTGAAACGATGGCATTGAGGGATATCATCAAGAGAACTGTTCCAGGCAACCAGGGATCATGATCTGTTTAGATGTATGAGCGCCTACGCCAGTTGGCAGAGCACATGATGATGATATTGATTTAATAATTTATTATCGTACATGTTACAGGTGCTGTTGTTTTATTTAAGAGGCGAATTTCTTTGATCTTTGTTGAACTACTAATTATTGTACTCCTAAAAGAAAAAGACTATGCCCTAAATGACACAATTTGTTTTTTGTTTTTTTTTAACGACAAGCGTGAGGTGAGTTTAAGTCTGTTTATATCTGCAGCGATTGGTAATTATTATTTTGATAGCCTATTCCGCATACAATACAGTATTCCAGTAACTCACGAGAGACTAAAGAAAGAGACTGTCCACCTCAAAGAGTGAAGTGCCTTTGAAATGAGTTACAGTTACGTAAATGAGATCATGATATTTCGTGGTTCATCCACTGTACACTGAGTCAATCAGATTAATTGTGCTTGGTGGTTTCTCATGCGGATAACATCTCAAACATGAGCAATGTGATGTTTTGACATGTTCCCGTCACTCTACTTCTGTAAACAAACTAATTGTATGCTTTGAATCAGTGTCTGCTTTTTCAATCACATCATCATCATCATCATGTAGCAGGTCCTTTGCAGAATGTCGCTCTCATCACAGTCTGCCTGTAAGAAACTCGGTCTCTTGCCAGTTCCCCCACCTCATGAACTTTCACACTCAAGGAGTCACTTATATCCTGTGCCCATCTTCGTGTCGGTCGGCCTCTGCCCCTCCTTCCTGGTACCATGCCTTCTGCTATAATTTTTTCCAATCCGTCGTGGCGCTTGATATGACCAAAATATTTCAGCTTTCGAGAAAGGATGCTGTTTATTAGCCAATCTTCCTTGATGTTCAGATCTTTTAAGATGTCAATATTTCTCATCTTCTTTGTCCAAGATATTCTGAGAATTTTTCTATAGTATTTCAGCTCAAAAGCCCCTATTCTCTTTCTTAAGGACCGAGAGATAGTCCACGACTCACATCCGTATGTAGCCACAGGAAAGATGCATGCTCTCAAAATTCTAATTTTTATCTCCTTGCTGGTGCTTAACCACAGACTTTTAAGGCTGTTCAATCTTTTTTTTAATCACATACTGCAAATAGAGCAATGAAAATTACATTCTTCTTGACATTATAACTATTTTCCTACAAGGACATGGCTTTTAACAGGTTACATGCCAAATTTCAGCAATTTATTTTTTTTTTTTAAAGTGTAAGAAATTATAGGGAGAGGGGGAAAATGGATTAAGAAAGAATAAACAGTTTATGTCCTCTTTACACAATCGATCACAATGAACAAACAAAGGACGGTGCGGCGATTAGCCTTCTTCAGCACACAAAGAACAACATAGCACACATACACAAATATGCACTAAATATGAAATGACTACTTGTGACTATAATGTACTAAATAAATGATACGCATCTGTGTCCCTGGCGAAAAACTTGGTTCAAGAGGATGAACAGGACTGGTACTAACTTATATATCGCCA